AGATGGGGGTGGATAAAGGTACTGGCATAATCTTTGGGTTCTCCTAAAAATTATGTGTAACGTTTATTTTGTTTTAAAACCATGAAAGGCGAGGATTTTAACATATGCTGTTAATTTAAGCATGGTGCGTCTTTCTTTTCTCAGTGGAATTTGATTTGTGACAAGAAGAACATTGCCGCCTTGGTTCAGTCGCTATTTGTAGCTGGAATGATGGCTGGATCTCTCTTCTTTGGGGCGATATCAGACTTCTTCGGAAGGAGGTTCTGTCTTTTTCTTTGCAGCGCATTAGCGGTGAGTCAAGTTGTCTGGTTTGCACACAACGTCTGAGTCAATAAAAGAAAACTATGAGATGTTTTTTGAAGCCAAGGACAGTCTTTAGTAATAAGAGCCTGGAAATATATGCAATAGCCCTAGTAAAGCAAATATCAATAACCATGATAGTTTCTTTGTAGAAAATGGTTGAGTTGAATCTTCCAGATTCCACTATTTGGGCAATGAAAATTACATTTTTTCTATCATGATTTTCTTATCTAGGTCGCAAAATGTGATATCGAGGTCTGTCACACCTTTCCTTTATCGTGACCTTTCATTTTTTTTTTTTTTTTTCATCATTATTATTTTAGCTGTGTTTTAGCCTGGCGTCAAGTTTTGTGGACTGTTTATCCTTCTTCACTTTCCTCCGCTTCTGTGCGGGCGCTGCGATAACAGGTCTGTTCGTGGGGCACTATGTGTACATTCTGGAGCTGGTAGGCTGCACCTACCGCACTTTGGCTGGAAAAATACAGGATGTCTTCTGGGTCATAGGCGCTTGCCTCACGGTCATGACCGCGTACCTGGTTAGAGACTGGAGACAAGTGCTACTGATCGGCAGTATTCCAGCGGGTCTCTTCTATCTTTTATGGAAGTGGGTGTGCCAACACAACCGAATAGGAAGTCAGCAATAGAGTTGTAAATGGATTATGATACAGGGGAAAAAATTTTCGATCAGAATTACTCAGAGGCAAAGAAGATAACAGAGGGGTTGGTCTGGTTGGGTTCGAGATTATACCACTGCTCTAACTTGTGTACCAGTGGGCTCGTGTTCACGCTGCAGACTCTTCGGACCCGCGCGTTTTTTGACCAAAGGTGAAGGAGTCACGAGCGCTCAAAGACTCCTTTCCCGTCCTAACTTCTTCCAGCTACGCCCCTCAGGTTAAGTAGGACACAACCACATGAACCTCTGAATCAGAATGAGTTAGCATTACTTTCCGTCTAGCGAGAATTTTGTGACATTTGAAAAGCATTGACTACGGTCGTTACTTTGTCCGAGTTCAATAACCTTATTGTTTTCAAACCCTGTCTTAACTTTTACTTTGCAGCGTATTTCCCGAGTCTTTAAGATGGCTGGTTGCTCGGGGTCGTTTAGAATCTGCTCATGCCATTGTTATGAAGTACGCTGACGAGAACTCCATGACAGTAGACTCAGACACCCTCATGTCCTTGCTGGAGGAATGCAAAGCGGCTTCGAAGAGAGTCACGTCGGAGGTCAGGCGATCACCTCTTGATCTCGTGCGCACACCAAGACTGAGGAGAAGAACTGTGATTCTTTGTTATAACTGGTTTGTTCTTCAAACATAGTCATTTCATTTTATTTTCATAGCAACTTCAACTCTGAGATTAATCTTTCACATCTTATTTTAGGCTGGTCCTGAGCATGATATTTTACGGAATCATGCTGTATGTCCCAAGCCTGGCTGGTAATATGTATCTAAACATTTTCCTGATGTTTGTGAGTGACTTACCACACACTCCCATGGCATGGATTGTCTTCAAACAGTAAGCGCTTGACAGCTTTTATTTTTTTATTTTGATTCCATTGTTACCATACAAATTTCTTCACGCTGAGAGTGTTAAGTTGTTCATCGTTGTATCCCAATATTAAAAGCCTCGATTTCGTACCATTTTATGAGCCCGCGTTTCTTGGCAGGAGGGAAATAAGTGGAATTTATATGTTCGGGGAGTTTGAGCTTCATGTAAAACCGACACTGCAAAGGTACCACATCGGGTATTTAGAACAAAATGACAGTTCTGGGGTAGCTGCTGCCTGTTTACATGCCGCTGTGTTTAAAAAGATGATCTTCTTTTTATTCCCGTCTTTCAGGTTTGGTCGCCGTATTCCGCATTGCGTGTTTATGATGATCAGCGGTCTCTCGTGTCTGTTTGTTCTTCTTGTTCCAGAAGGTTGGTGAAAAAAAAAATGATTTTATTGGTTTTTATGACTCTGCGTAGTCAAAATTGTTTTGCTAGTAAGAAATTCACCGAATCAAAATATGGCGTCCAATTTGAATTACCATTGTTTTTGACTTAGTAGCCTCGTCTTCATGTGGAAAACACAAAAGGATTATCACATGTGTGAGAGGCTAGTAAGTCCAGAACAATGGCAATTCAAATTGGACGCCATATTTCGATTCGGTGTATGATAAGAACTAAATAGAAATGACGCAAGGGGGACTTCTCTTACAAAATAAGGTGGATATATGCAAGGAAAAATTAAACTGGTAAGTAGAGGACGTTACTTTATCTCTCAATCTAGCTTTCCAAATGCAACTCGACAAAAACACAGCTTGGTGATAAAGGACAGTTTCAACGAGAATTTGTAATTAAGAAAGACCGAAATGAAGCTAAATAATTAACCTGATCGTGCCTTTTGTCCGAATAGATCTGAAAGGTCTGATAACAGCCTTGGCGCTGATTGGACGATTCTTTGGATCTGCTTCGTTCTCAAACGTATACTTGTACAGCAGTGAATTGTACCCGACGACCATCAGGTAATCTGAACCATAATCGTGAATGACAGACGTCAATTGTTCGAAGATTTCGGATGATATCCGAAGTGTTTCTGACGTTCTCGTAAACCGTTTCGAATCCATCGACTTAAGCAGACGGATCGTAATATCTTGCATCTTTCGTTGCAAACTGAAGAATCCTTTTTTTTATTTCCCTCGAAACGTTTCACCGCCAATGGCGTCTAACTGATTAACAATTCTTTTACAGGAATATGGCTCTTGGTACTTGCTCGACTTTTTCTCGTATCGGAGGCATGGTTGTTCCTTTCATCATTGCACTGGTGAGTTGCACCGTCGGAAATAAAGAAATGTGGCAGATTACATTTTCCCCGCACAAATATTCATAGTCTTTAGCTCAAAATTGGTCCTTCATGCCAGTACATTACGTACAGTTAATCTGCCCTGATCAAACACTTTATAAATCGTATTTTCAAGTGTGAAGAAACTTTTATCAGACTTGGGGGGAATTCATTGCACTTTTCAGTCTGGTCAGTTTTTTCTTACTTGTGGTAAGCGTTATTTTGAGATTGTGCTTAATCTACTTCGAGGGGCAAGATAAGTGAGACGGAGCCTGTCGTACTCAGCAGGTTTACGCTGAAGATTTGCAGCTGAAAGTTTGCGCCTGATCTTGCCTGAGATTTGAGCCTCAAAGAAACCCTGTCAACAAATGGTTTGCTTTCGCGTATTATCAGAACATTCAAATTTGCGACTCAAAGAAAGCCACAAATGTTCGATTTTATTTCTCGTCTCTAAACTGCATCAGCATCGTAACCTTTTTTTATTGTGTTTTTCTGCGCCCATAGGCTCAGCTGCCTGGTGTGTCTGTGACTTTGCCTCTGGTCATACTGGGTATTCTGACCATTATCGCGGCCTTGGTGTCCCTGTGGCTTCCCGAAACTCTTCTATCCAACATGCACGAGACGGTGCAGGACATAAAAACTTCTAAGGAGAACTACGGTGTCATTTGGATGGGAAAGCCACGACCTCCTCTCATCTCATTTCCATGCAATAGGTACGAAGAATCAAGCATTGGCATTTGTTCAAGAAAAAATGACAGTCATTTGAAATCCAATTCAATCTGCTCTATCTCAAGACATCTTTGTTTCCTCTCAGTTTATTCTGGTCCCTTTTATTTTTTTCTTCTATACTGAACTAATATTTTGTGGTCTTATCAAAGATGCCGCAAGTTTTTCCCTGAAGAAGTGCCTCGTGAAACTTAAATTGGGCTGACACATTGTTTAAATCTGAACCAGATTTATTACTTAATGGTATAATGTTAACTTTATCTCTACAGTTCCCAGGACTCAAACGAAGTAAACGGAGAAAATGCGCACATTTTAACGGAGACCGCCGATGAGACCCAAAAAAGAAGAAGCTTAGAAGAACCCGAGGACCCAAAAGAGACAACACCTCTGACCACTGCGGAAGATGGGTCCCCAGAGTCCAAAGTATAACTGTATCTAGATGTTTTAAGACTGTATATGTGGAATAGTGTTTTTTAGCGCAAGGATTACGACAAAGTGGGAATCGCTGTTATCTCCCCACTTACACTTGATTTCATTATTATCTCAAACATAAAATTGCAGGGGATAAAATTTTTGCGGCAACAGACTTTCTTTACCCTGTTATCTTATTGACTCACTACAAATATTAATGTTGAGACTGTTTGGTTCAATTTCTAGAGGAGTCACCAGTTACGTGATTTACCATTCTTCAGTTTCGGTTTGGCTTTTCCCTTCTTGTAAGGGGTTTACGCTGTATAATCTGCCATAGATATGAGGCACGTGGGAATAACGCAGACATCAAATTAAAGAAAGCCAGAGAACTGTTTTTAATTTGATTGAATAAAATGGGAATTGATTGATGCTTTACAAACTACTGAGTTTCGGAGCTTTTTTGTGTTCAGTACATCCATTGTTGCTTGATTTTCAGCATTTATCTCCTCGTAGTTTTGCTTACTGATGTGGCCGTTATTGAAGATCCAGAAATGAAGTCATTGTGGAATAAAAAAAATGACTCTGAAGTATTAATGGTTGTCGCGACTGAACATTGATATTTGTTTCCGTTTTTTTTTTTTTTTTTTACACATTTATCTTGTTTTCACGCATTGCGTGCCATTAATTTGGTTACATTAGGGTCATGTGGTTTTACGCGACCTCGTGGTTGAGAAAAATAATAAATGCTTGAGTTGTGAAATACGGTGCTTATCTTTCTGCTGGAAGCGTTTTACACGACAATAGTATCAGGGTAGCTAAGGGACTGTCTATTGTAGCATCACCGTTCAGGGCTATATAACTTGCGATCAATTTTTGCGCGTTAATTTTTTTTTCTTTGAATACTATAAAATGGAAATAATAAAATGACTGTAAAACTTTTAGCTCATGAAATTGATATCATGATGAGACAAGGGAAGTTTGAGAAATATTATTTTATCGCCATTTTTAAAATGGCGTTGTTAAAACCCTTTAAATACAAACTACTGTTGCCATGGACTTGGAAAATTAAATAATTTAACAAACAGCTTTTGAAATATCTTGCTGTAACATTTACAAGAAGTTACTGCGTCAATTGTCTTTCAGTTAAAAGGAAAGAAGATTCATTTAGTTAAAAGTCCTTCAGTCTATAAGACTTATACACAAATCTGTTTTTTTGGACGATAAATAATGTTAAATATGTATGGGAAAGGCCTGGGCCTCGTTTATAATGAGAAATCGGAACCGAAATTTAAGAGACTGCTCAAGTTATTTAACTGCATTCGAAACCAATACAGTTCACCACAACAAAATACGCTTGCAAATTAAATAAAATTCATTTTGTGGACTCACATGGAACATTCTTTAAAATCTCGGAGCTTATTTCGTCTGTCCTTATTAAAAAGCGGGATACAAAGAAACTTTTATCTCATAAAAATACTAAAATCTTAAAAGGCTTCTTCGCAGAAGTTTATCGTACTAAAAATAATAAATGTGTAAGATCGCCAACAAAGGCTAGTTTTAAAGATCTCCTCTACGAAGGTATTTACCAGTTAAGCCCAAGATATGTTTACGAGTTAAAAATACCTTACAATTGAGTCAAACACTAGAAGTAAATTTTCTGTTACAGACCAGAAATTGTGGAAACATCAAACTAAATGTCTAAAAAGCAATTCGCTCTCTAAACCCTCAACTAACAGTGTGGGGGTCCTAAAAGTTTCCGAGTAAAACTGGTCAGCGGGGTAAGCGAGTGAGTAATTTTAGAGGAAAATATTACAGATATTGATACATGACTTAGTAGATACTTTTAGTATTAAAATGATCACAAATGCCGCCGATGTCATGGATGAAGTAAGAATTGAGAAAAACTGGGTTCTTCTATATTCCCTTCTCAAGCAACTGACTGACTACCGCGTTCGCTCGTCAACATCAGCTGCAGCCATACTATCCTCCAAAAGTTTAATTTGTTCTGTAAAAGAACACAATGAAGAAATGAAAAATGGTCACTCGAGTCAAGTTATTGGCTGTTTGTTGATAGAATGTCTGAAAAAATTTTTCAGAAACTGATTGGTCTGTCCGTGATGTTATGGACCGCACGGATCGCTTGATACTGATTGGTTTTATTCTGTCGGTAACTTAAGGTCGTCCCGTAAGGTTCTGTTATCATGCAATGAATAAGTTATTTTACAGTTTGCAGGCAGTCCATATTATCCCCGACATGTACCATGTAAGTCTCTATCCCATTAAAAGGAAAGACTACCACACAATCAAGACTCCACTCAATTTCATACGACTCGCCCCGAGCTTTTCATATGAGGTCGGCTTACCTTCACTTAAGTCTCCAATGGTACTCATTTTGTGAAGAAATTCCTTACATATGTCATTTCCGAGACCAAACGCCTTCATGTTATTAAGAAACGTCCTAAAGATTGATGTAAGGATAGGAAAGATCTTTAGTTGAAGGGATAGCATATTTATTCCCGTAACTTTTTGGTCTATCATATCTTCGTGTTTGCCTTCCTCGACAATTTAATTTATATTTCCCTTTCCCTTTCCAGATACTGACCCTAGTTTACCAAAGACACTGTTTTTATCACATTCTTCATATTCACTTTGTTCCTGCACAGACCAACTCTGCCACGTATCACTAAAAGGTAAAAGAGGATAAGAGAATCAGTCGTTTTGGGGGTAAACTTTGCCTTCTGTGTTCGCTTAGGAGAAACCAGGTTGGCCAGTTAAAGTACTTCACCTTGGTTGATTAGTAATTAATTACAGCGTCGAAAAGTAACGTTCACTGTTTACCAGACTACGGCAATAATCGGAGGGTCGTTGGTATAATCTAACCATGATGGTGGATCTAAACCGTAGTTTCAATTTTCATTCCATTTTTTAAAATGGAAATATTTAATACAGAGAAGTTAAAATAGAGTTCTTCATGGGAAATTATTTTGATTCATCGAGATCCATATTCAGGAGTTAGTGATCGATTTGTCACCTCTTAAGAGTCGTGCGAACTCGTGCGAAGAGAGGTTTTCCTTTATTTAGTTCGTTCAGGCAGGAAATTAAACCATAAACTTTTGTCTTTGTCCAAAAGAAGGACAAATTGAGCGTTACATCATACGTGAATGAGAGAAAAAGTCACATAAAGCCTATAGTGAGCGTGTTTATAATTAAGATGGTGAACACGTGACTTGAATATAGCTGTGTTCATACCTTGGTATGACAGGAACTTCCCGTTCTCCATGCACAGCATCGAAAAAAGCTGCGTTCCAGAACCGAAGTGACTTCCTGAATTGTGGGAAAAAACAAAACAAAACAAAACAAAACAAAACAAAACAAAACAAATCAAAGCATGATTGGATACTAGCAGTCCTAATGTGATATCTATGATCAAAGCACAACTCTATTGACACGGGGCAGAAATACGTGAAAAAAAATAGTGAAAAAAAATAGTGAAAGTTTCGACTTATTTTCCTTGTTCTCCCAGAAAACCGAAGACTTCTTTAATTTGTCGTTCAAATGGTTTTATTCGTCGCAAAAAGCTAGTAAGGTGTGGAGAGGAGGTAGCTCGCAGTCGCTGCACCGTTAAAAATTCATCTTGAAATTTTCCAAGTTTTTCATATGCAATCCATGTGATCTCTTCCAAGTCAAGCAACGCAAAATGACGTCACACATCTCCTTTCCTTCTTTGCCCGGCGATCGATAGAAATTCGTTACAATGAAAATCCTAGCTTAATACTTCGATTCTTATCACCAAGCTGTGTTCTTTATATCAACGCACTTTTATGCAATATCAATATCAACTTACATAATTCTAAAATAATAATGATAATAAATACCCCGCTAGGCTCAATCTTCGCCGCTCTCTAGAGTCCGGTCTTTTTCGCTCCTCCTCCTCTCTTCGGGGAGGAGCGCGGGCTCCGGTTCCCGAACAGCGGCTGCTAATCGAGCCTAATGCCCCTCATGAAAAAAAAAAAAAAAAAAAGATTCGAATCGACAAAAAAAAAAAGCATTTATGTTCATGCAAGAATCTTCTCACCAAATCGGTTGATCTCTTAGGTATGGAACAATAAACTGCTTCCCAACTTCTTCTCCATCTATAAATGAAAACAAAAAAAACTAAATTCATGTCGTCTTATTAAAGAAACTATACAAATAAGAGACAGTAGATGGCAAGAACTGCCGCGGTTTACGCTGGAACTGGCGGATGCAGACATTCTTTTGACAAGGGGTGGGAAAGGGAAGGGCGAAGTAAGGGTGGGCCTGTACTAAAAGTTGGTTTGGCTGCCAAATGGGGATGTGACTCAAAAGTGTCAGTCTCAAAATATGGGAAGGTAGCGGATGAAGGGGAGGGCGAAGTAAGGGTGGGGTATTTCAAAACAAAGTCGCTGAGCCCTGAGAATTTCTTGCGTAACTCATGAGTAACTCGGAAGCAAACAAACAAAAACATTTAAAAAGAACACAAACAAAAGGACACAAAATAAGAACACCGTACGTAGAAATTACAAAAATCGTTCTAAAATGCGACTTACCTTTGTTGATTTGAAGGAAAAATGTAAAACACATGTTCATTAAAATCTTGGCAGGCTCAAAATCGTCAGCTTGGTTACATCTGAAGAGAAAGTAAGCGTTACATGTAAATAGTTGAACTCCACCGACTGCTTGCAAATCCTCGCTTAATAAATATATCTTATTAACCAAGCGCGAGGGCCGTACTGGGAAAATATCGGCCCGAGTTCTTGACAGTACGGACCGAGCGCTGCGAGGTCCGTACAAAAAAGACCGAGGGCCGATATTCTTCCAGTACGGTCCCGAGCAAGCTTGGTTAATAAGAGATTTATTATACGACTGAAATTCAAAGAGACACAAGTGCGGTATCATTCGGGACCATTCGGGACAGTGCCCGGTCCAATACTGTGAGAATATTGACCGGCAATAGAGCATTTTGATTGGTTGATTTTAGTTATTGGCCCTCTGACTGCCCGAGTCGTGTAATAACTAGCTCACCATGCCTTTGGCGTGGCAATGAACCGCAGACTTGATATCGTCCAGTTAATTGAACTCAGGTCTAATTCTGGCGACATGGTTTCTGAATTCGTACCAAGGTCCTCCCCTTTTATCACATTCTGTGAGATTTGACACAATACCGAGAGAACACTGGAAAGCACTGGCTACTTCCCGTGACTTCCCGTGCGTCTAAATCGTTGCAACTCAGTAAGTCAAGCCTTCGGTGCCCTCAAAATTTTCAATTTGTTTCGCTTTACCAATGATATACAAGTGTGAACACAAATAATGGAAAGTTATAGTCTTTTGTTTTGAATTTTTAGCTTGGTCACTGACACCTCTACTCAGTTATAAAGTTGAAATCTGAAACTCGTAAATTCTTGACACTAAAAAAGCCACAGTAACACTCTGGGTTGGTATAACCCAGTGTTAGCGCGAGAATTGATTTCAGATCTGAAAGCTTTACAAGAAAATTCAGTATAATTCCATTTGTCTGCAATTTGACGATTAATTACTCTAAAAGGAATTGAGAAAATTATCCCAAATCGGCTTTTGAACTGAAAAATATAGAAACCTGGATTAAAATTTAACCATGGGTTAGCGCTAATCGGCCCTCGAACAACTGGGCCCTGTATTATAAGTGGACTCCATTTTGGGCGATGACCCTGATTGTGCAGCCACTGGCATGGGCCCTGTGGTTGCTCGCTTGACACAGGCTGAACAGCACTGATGCGAGGCTATCGACGAGGTTAACCTTTAGCCGTAAAACGGCAAAAACATTCAGCCGATAGGCCTAAAAATTGACGAATTTAAATCGTTCGTCGTAAATAATGTTAGCCGCAAACTTTATTCTTTTAACAACAGTGGAAAGAAATTAACAGTCTAGCTCCAAAGATTTGTCTATTCCCAGGTTTTTCTCCCTCCACGAGAAAACCACATTGCAAGTTCCAACTCGTCCTTGCCGTGTGTAGGCGACCTACAAACAAGTTCGTCGCTCTTCTCGTACTATCCGAACAATCAAACTTCTATGGACCATTCTGACTAGGAAATTATGGTGTGCCCAATCAAAAATGAGGTCTTCGTTGCTTTGCTAATTAAAAAATCTTTAAGTTTTTTTCTTCTTCTTTTTATAATCTTTAATTTCAAAAACTGGCAGATGTCCGGTGAATCAGAGCATTAAATGAAGGGGAATACATTCGCTCAACACAGTTGAAACAGAAAAAACACCTACAATCAGGACATTTGAAGATCAATCAATTCTAATTCCTTCCCAACACGACACAAGATGTTATCATGCCTGAATTATTTATCAAAGACTAAAACAAAAGCGGTTTGTCGATGAAAACGAATGTAAACCGCGTTTCATTTTAATTACAATCTGTACAAAGCTGTACGATTTGTTGTTTCCGGAAGTATTTTCAGTTTTAACGCAGATACTTATAAGATAAGTTTGCTGAAAGGTGAGAATTATGTTTGTTAACAGACCCATTCACAACGTACGTTACAAGACTATCGAATACCACGACGTATTGAAATGTTACCGTGTATCTACAAAATCAATTTTGAGATTGGTAACTTGTACATCTGATTTTGAAAAGCTGGGAAAATTATCATCGTATTTTTTTTTTAATCATTAACAACACTTCTATAATGGATTTTATCAACATAACACGAATGCAATCCTTTTACCACTTCGGGTCTAAAAGGAGTATTTTGTAATCATTTTATGAAATCTTCATTCGAACGCAGTATACTACGAAGTGCGAATTCATTAATTATGTAATTGAAAATCCTCCCTTCTTACAGATAAAAATCGGAACAAAAAGGAAAAAAAATAACCAGGGACATGGAACTGGTGAGTAAAATAGGCATGGGGAAAATAACTTGAAAAGGCCGAGGGAGTTAGGTTTGGAGGTTTTCAGCAAAATTATTTCTGCGTTGGTTTCACCCATAAAACTGTTAACTATCGAACAACCGCTGAACTAATTAACGTCATTAGAAGACTGTTAATTAAAAATTAATTTCTCCTTGACGGAGAACATTCTGCAGCTTGGTTGCAGGGTTCAGTATCATAGCAGGGTTATCGAAAACAACAATCGGAATGAGCCACTTAGGAAAATTAAAACCTTCACATCTGTACATTTACGATCGCCTCGGGCAAGAGAAAAAGGAACCGGGCGAAAGCAAAGCCGACGGTGACATGGACGATCACCACACTTCGGCTGAATTACTGCAGAATCACAACATTCAGCTAAAAGATGACGGGCTTGGAAAATACAAGATAAGTCCTTTGGGTTATCTCAGCGATGCTAAAGATCTGGTAAGAAACGGCTTAAAATTCAGAATAAAAAGTTCCTAAAAGTGTTTACATGACGGAGATACGTAACTAGAAAGTGCTGAACTAAAAAAGCAGGAATTTTTTTATTAACTGTGCATGTGTCAGTATCATAGGTAAAGCTACCGACATTCTGAAAAATCCAATAACAACAACTAAAAAAAAAAAATAGTTGCAATAGCAAACAAAAATCTCGCAATGTCTGTTTTTCTTTAATTAAACGACTATTTCAACATTTCGAAAAGAAACATTTGAACTGAAAACTCATTTTGGTTATCGTTCGAAGTTATTCCATATAGGATATAAAACCACCACAGAACTGTATAATTGTAGTTTTAGTTTCTTTTCGCTCTGTTTTCTTTAAAGCGACAGCACAGTGATTATTTTGCCTTATTTAAAGATTGTTTTAACTTTTAATGCCTATTCTTGCTTGACGCAAAATTCACCCACCTGAATGTATAATTTTTGATCAGCGCAGCTAATGCAGTTACATTTTGAGTAACTGTAAGTTGTTTGTGACAATCTTAGATTTGTTTTAAATGTTAGCCGAAAATTGTGAAGATCACGTATGGAGGTTATAATGTAACTGGCAACTACATTACATGAATTACATTTTTACATTTATATAGCGCAGACTTCTATGTGGATATATTCAGTCGCGCTTAACAGTATCGTAAGGTTGAGATCGGACGTCAGCATTTTTATCAGGCGCCTCTGGCAGCTGCTTCAGTCCATGTAATGACCTCACCTTCCCACCCATCCCACCCCGGGGAGGACATCCACTACACAGTAATCTCGTGCATAGGAAATTTACGTCTCCTACCCCTAACCCTGCCGGAGACGGGACCTACGGCTTTACGTCTTATCCGAGACGACGAAGCAATGTGAGTCCAGCGCACTGACCACTGGGCTACTCGCGCCTATAATCTAAACTAACAGCATACACTTTCTAATACACTTTGCATGTTAAAGAAAGATGTTCTAAAGAGCAGAACAAAGAAAAATGCAAACCCCCCTGTAATATTCGTCTTCTTTCTCACTGGCCGTTTTGCATACTTTTAGTTTTGGTCTTACGACAATGAATCCAGCAAAGCGTTCGAAAAAAATGTGTAAAACTAAAGAGGAATTGTACGTTCATTTTAACAACTTTAACAAACCATTTCCAACTCAAGTTTGTGGTGACCACTGTAACTTAAAGTCATCAATGTTTCTTTTCATCTTACGATGCCTGAATACAACTGTATAGTATTTTTCAGTTGTAATTTCCAAGTATGTTGGTTTTTGATATTTGTTAATTTCCTCGTTGGTTTTTTTTTTTTTTTTGTAGGAGACTGCCAGAGCAGGAGTTCGTACCACCAATGGGGTGAGTATGGCCGGCAATTTCATTACAACCTAGAACGGAAATCTTAGCCACTAAAAAATTTACTTTGAAACTGAATGCTCAAAGCTAACTTAATTAACCAATTTTCAGGAAAAGAAGTCCACAAACAGTGTCACAAAGAAAAAGGTTAGTTTTGCATTTTAAATAACATAAACATGTCCACCCTGAACTTTTCAAAAATCACAGTTGGCATGAAGGTGATGCTAAATACGATGCATCTTCAGGTATGTTTAAATGACCTGTCACATATCCTCAAAGCTTCACTTCTTTTAAGTAGTGTAGCTATATAAACACAAGAACATCATTCTTGCCACTCAGCTGATCTCAGATGACAGTTTCTATCACAAACACCCACTTAAATGATTGCATAATTATATAATAATGAATTGGTAAATGTTAGCATGGAACCAATGAACTACATGAAAAATTGTTGAAATAAACATGGTTTCTTTGGCAAACCTCCTCAACTGACTGACCATAGTAATTTCAGCAGCCAATCAGATCAGAGAGCAACATCAATGGAGCCAATCAGAACTCCAGGTGAAAGTAATCACTGCAGATGGCTTAAAGCCTGAAATAGTGTGACTAATCAAAACATGATCGGTTTCGGTTCAGCAATTCCAATTGGCTGATAAGGTGGTGCAGGTTTTCAGACCAATCAAAGGGTGATGTGAAACAAAATTTGTTTACTACTGTACAATCACTAGTCAAGGTATTATTCAGAATGGAAGAGGAGGAAAAAGGTGACACTTACTCAAATAAAACAATTGCAAAGTACTGTATAAGTCTGAAGAAGATGGTCTCAGGAACACTCTTGCAATATACTCTCTAACAGGAAAAAAAACAAAAATGAGAAAAAAAAGAAGTCAAGACTAACTTTGACCCACATCGTTCTTAAGTAATGTGCCAATTAATTCAAAGCCTCAACATCATCCCACCCACCCCCCTCTTCCAACTTCCAAGCAACCTATGGGCATTTGACTGTTGTCCATTCTCTGGGGGAAGGGATTTGAACCTAGCCTGGGTGGGATGGGGAACTTAAACCTGACCACTCAATAAGAGTAATAGTAATAGTAACGATAGTTTAATACTTATATTGTGTAAATTAACATGTGGATATGATCAAATGCACATCAAAACACTTTACGGGGCACTTTGGCTGGACTGCATCAGCAGTTTACAAACAATCGAAGAAAAGTTATTTGAAGATGCCCCCTCCCCCCAATTCCCAGTAAACAGGCCAGACCACATCATGTGCAGTAATCTCGTGAGTGGGTTCTTTAACGTCCCCTGCCTAACCAAATTAACTAATTAATAGATGCAGGAGACGGGACCTACGGTTTATTCGCCCTTATCCGAGAAGACTAGAATGTCTATCCATTTCTTGATTTTATAGAAAGGTAGAGCAATCTCCTCAGTTATTTTAAGACCTTGAGTGTTGGTCCAGCCGGGACTCCAACCATCTACCTCAACCTCCCGTACAACAGTCCAGCGCTCTAACCAACTGAGCTAACCAGGAGGTGGTTATGTCTTTCCCATGGAATAGGCATGTTGTGTCCTTAAGTATGGAGGTGTTAAAAGGTTAAGAGTTTGTTTCACTAGCAGATGGCCTAAAGTAAAACGTTAACAAGGAGGTCACAGTCACCGATCTTGCTTTTTACAAAAAATTGACCATCAGCTCTGGTACTTGGGTAGGGCATTTGAACACAATGTTGGCTCCTTGAGATGAAAACTCAAACAAAGCGATCTTCAAAAGTTAAAATACCCTGTGAGGGGCATGTTGGAGCTTAGAATTGATTGACAAAAAAGCAAAAAGAACACATTAAAAAAGGTGACTGCATGACTAGTAGGTGGTAATAGGACCGAGTAGAGTCCCATTAACTTTGTAATCATACAAGAGTATAACAAAATTAAATGACTGCAAAGAGGAGGGGGGTCAATATGTGAATAGCACAGACTCATAAATTGAAGTATATTTTGGACAGAGTTGCATTACCTGGTTGTCAACATGTTTGGAAAAGGAAAGACGCCCTGCTCTATGCTGTAGAAGAGAAAAGAAGTTACCAAATGGATAGTAATCAGTACTGCACGTGTACATTTATAATAAGTTTGGACTCTGAAAATAAGAGAGACATTAAATCACACAAAATTGTACAGCAAAGCAAAATTTTTATATAAATAGCTAAATGCAAAGGGACTGGAAATATTTGTTTAAAGGCAAAGTCTGCCATAAATATAAAAAAGACAAACTGGCATTTTTGCCAGAGCTTATTCCAGTTTCATTAGCAAGAAGCAGCTACATGTAGGAGGTTAAGGCTTTGACATTTCCTCACATCTTTCTGACAGTTTTCTGTGATCCATGTTATTCCTGGGTACAGAGGGTACGTGAGAGTGAAATGTTTTTCCTGGAAATTAAAACTCAGTGACCCAGCCTGAGTTTAAAACCAAACAAATGTGATCCATAATTCACAATGCCAACCACAAAGCAACCATGTTTCCTCTCCTTTCCATGGCTAAACAAAGCAATTACCTGATTTAGGATTCCAAACTTGAGCTTGTCTTCCTGAGAAATAGCACTTCTAGGAAACAAGAAATAATTATCAGATGAGGCAGTGATGCAAAAAAAACTGTTTTAAATGAAACATTTTTTACAATTTAGTGCTCTTATTTAAATATTTAACCAATGTGAGCAAATAAAAATAAAAGTCAGCCTAAAAATTCAACACAGCTGGTTAATTTAAACCTGAGCCTTGGATTTATTTGGGCTATATTCCAGTGACTCTAAAAATCTTCCTCTGACTGCCATATACAGTATTCCAACGTACTCTTCTAGAAATATTCTTGCTACAAAATCTTTCATAAACTCATTGGTCTCCTGTTCAAACAGCTCTGTTTCTTCATCATAGTCACCCTCTGAGCAGTCTGTTGAAAATTATAAAACACAAATGCTATCAAATACAAGCCCATCACTATGTTAGAAATAATAATGTTAGGTATTGAAGACACCAAAAAAGTGGACCTTAAAAGGGTTTTAATTGCAAGTTTTCTCTACGCTTATAATCAAAGACAAATAAGTGAGAAGACTGTCCCTTATTTTGTAAATGACAAGTCTGCACTGATTAAAATACATCACAATAAGAACACTCATTTCTTGGAATGTCTTTTTCTCCTGTGATGCTTGTTTTTGTTCATTTTTATGATATGTATCACTTAGAAAACATTACCAACTCTTTGCCTAACTAAGGAAATCAATTTTTCTTCTATATCATCTGTAGCTGCTCATAGATAATGTCTCAGCATCCAAGTACAAAGAAAATTCCTATTCAAATGACTCTTTGGCAACAATTTGAATGAATTAATATTTGCCTTTCTGTAAAAGCCTCATCAGTTCAAAACACTGAAATACAATTAAACTTCTTTGGGCTCAGTCACACTTTTATGGTGAGTAACTTCAGAGAGGATGAAACTTTATAAAATTGAGTGAATATCAGTCAGAGATTGGAGCTCTTGTGGTTGTGGGATTGAAAACTGAGGAAGATAAAACAGTAATGTGTAATTATAACAGTTTTGTAGGTCTAATTTCATGCACACAGTAACAATTTATTCAGTAATGTTACCATGACTTCAGTTCACATTTCTTAAGAATGTATTAGGTTATTATAACTATTCTGACTTATAATATTATAATTATCATATTTTGATGAATAATTTAACAATGAAAATATCCTTTCTTCATCAAGCAACCAATATTTTGTCTATAGAACCATTTTATAGTTCCAGGTTACAAAACGGTGATTGACTTTGAAATAAATCACTTTCAGCACCCTGATAGCCCATTCCCCAGCACCTGAGCCTGTCCCTAACAGGTTATAGCTAACTGAGAAAGCGTGAAACCTACTATGAAACCTACTATGAAACCTACTATAAAACCTACTTTGTTGCATGCTTCTGGAAAATTGATAGAAAAAAAATCATTCATCAAAAACTTTGGCAAAATTTCTGCATAACCCCATGCACTCAATTCTTGGATAAAGGAAAGCAGAGGCAAAACAACAGATTTGCTTAGGGAACACGGCTTTGGTTTTGATTGGTATGGGGTTATACGGAAATCTTTCCAAAACTTTTTTTCTCAAATCACTTTAAGTCAGAAGGTTAATAACAAGAGAACAAATAGTGTGGTGATATTCAAGGAGTCAAGATCAGGCTAATTCGAGAGAAAACAGCCATGCTAAAGACCAAAATATAAGAAGGTGCAAAGTTTAATTAAAGCCAGCTCGTATACCCTTAAAATCACTTCCAAAGATAACATCGATACTGCCAGGAAAATGGGTTCTGTCCTCGTGTACCGGTTCACAAGAGCCAATACAAAAGACCAAACAATACACAATAGCTAACCGATAACTCCTAACCAAAGAAAGAACAATGGTAATTCCCTTGTGAACCGGTACACCAGGACAGCGGTACACCAGGACAGCGGTACACCAGCACAGAACCGGAAAATGAGTCACAGTTTACGTAACGGAATATCAATCTTAGCAAAAAATAACAAAACAGCCGAACTCTCGTTAAATTTTTTCGAAACTATCATCCTTTCGTTTGGCGCTCTATTGATCTAAGTTTAATCAGCGATAAATAAAGCATCCCTCGTGTGTTTTCCTAATGTAAGTTTCACATGCGGAAACAAACTATTTATGTTCTTCAAAAAATCAATAATCTAAAGTTTCTTTCGATGCTTATGCTTATGGTACCTTTAAAAATGTAAATGAATGACGCTGATGTCGATCTGAATTCCATAATGGCATTTACTTGAGGGGACGAGATATGATTTCCCATTTTTCACCAACTTACCGCTCTGATCGCTCCATTCCTTCATATTATTTAAAATATCCAACGTCATTTTAAGCACAGAATTACCGCAGGTTCATCGATCAGCTGGTAGCAGGCGACGCCAACAAAATTTAGGAAACATAGGAGAAGACATAATTATATTTCCAAAACAAAGAAGAGCGGAAATGGTTTTAGTTCTTTTGTGTCCAGTCCTCATCGTCGCACGCATAAACATGACCTTGACCAAGCGCATCTTCTAACAAAGAAACAGCTGATCAGCTTAGCGAGGGCTCCTAAGATCACCCACAAAGCACAGCGGGTTTTGTTCCGTGGCAACGTCTCCGAAAAACAAGTGAAAGCCAAAGGAAATTGAGGATGGTGCGAATCTAAGTTGACTTTTCGTGTTTTGTCCCTTTATGGTCACGTTTAAAATACAATATTTTTCTTTCTTATAGTCTGAAGTCGAGGAATCACTGAAAAGAATCCAGGGCCACAAAGGTGTTCTTGGAATAATTGTCGTCAATTGTGAAGGTATGGAATGTTGAGAAGGGTTGAAGGCCTTCTTTGACAACATAGAAAGTGCTTAGTGAAGGAGCGGGTTTCCCGATAAGGCAGTCCAAAATTAAGATGCAAATGTTTTTCATTACTTTTTCAACTGCAGGAATTCCTATAAGAACGACTATGGATAACGCAACAACTGTACAATATGCCGGGTTATTTAATCAGTTGACCAATAAAGCAAGGAACACAGTTCGAGATATCGATCCACAGGTTTGGAAAGTATTTTATGTTATTTTTGAGATGTTCTAAAAGGGGTCTATGCTTTTTAGTGACACAAAAGTCTACGTTAAAAATGGCTGGCGAAAAATTTTTACTTGAGAAGCTTTTTCATTTACTGAAGAAATACTTTGTCAAGTTTAGTAGTGGGAATGGTGCTGTTTATGTGATTTTCTAATAAAGTCTTTACGTCTTTTGGAACTGATTAAGACAGCTTTTTTGTTATTTTCAGTGTCAGAGTAAAGTAATCTTGTTGTATTCGTTGGTAAAATTATTCAAACCAAACAAAATTCTTTTATTTTAATTCAGTACTTCTTAAACTTGCTCACCCTAAATCCCTGTTTTCATCCAAAAACTCTCGGATTTCAGACATTTTGGCCCCTTAAAGCCCATTTTAGGTATTAATCTTCCTCAAAGATGTACAGTAGGTAAAATCTCAGTTGCCAAAGTGTTGTGTTAAGTAAGAAAAGAAAAGTGTGCAAGATTGAAATTCATCTGAACTTACTTTTTTAAAAATAACAGGGAAAACATATCATACATGTTTGGTAAGTACCTTCGGACAGAAATCCAGTTGTGATTCCCCACTACCACTGCCTACTTCTTGTGGAAAATCATTTATATTCAGTGGACTGACCTTTTCCTTTTTGGTGTTTAGAATGACTTAATGTTTCTGAGGGTCCGTTCAAAGAAGCACGAAATTCTGGTTGCTCCTGGTGAGTTTTCCTATCTTTCTCCAAAATTATACCATAATTAAAAAAACAAAGAGGGAAATTAATGATGCTCATTTAGTCAGTTTGTGATAGATCAGCTTTACTATGTAACTACAATCCAGCTATTGGAACCATAGCCAGGTGTCATTTAGTCAGTGTAAGTCACTGTGACTAGTGCTTGTACAAATTTACTGAAAGCAAGGTGAACGCAAGTTGTATGGAGGGGAGGGACATGAAAATTTTGTCATTTATTCCTTTGTTAAAACAGCAACAGAGGGGTTCAGTCTGATTGTAATGCGTGTCCTTCTGAGAAGAAAATAAACACATATTTTGAGCTAGTCAAAATTACTTTTCTTTAACCATGGCAAAATAAGAGATTATATCTTTTCTCTCCTATTGAGGTGTTCCTCTTTGCACATCACTTAAACTCACCTTACCTCCCCCTGATCAGTGTGGTATGTATTCATGTACTGTGCCATCAGCATGTGGTCAAACAAGCCTAGCTTCAATATCATATGTAAAATCTACTCAAGTCAACTCGGAAAGTACATTTATGACTATCTTCCTGTTTTAATTTCAGATAAAGAATACATGATGATAGTTATTCAAGATCCCAGTAAAATTCAGTAAAAGGAGCACTATACCATCATTGAAACCAACTTCTAATGTAAATACACTGCCACTTATCTTTTTTTTATTTTAATTTCAATTTAACCAAGGCAGTTCTCGAGACTGTTGTGCACTGTGAAACAGCATTATCTTGCACTTGGATTATGAGGTGAAATGTTCACCTACTTGTGTCTAGTATCATGATGGATTTACTCTAAGTTATTATGGTTGTAAATTACAATAAAGTGCTATGTCCAGACCAATATGTTGATGGTTTCTTGCTACATCTCCTTTCTTCGTGTTATTTGCTGTGTGTATCATCCTGAAATTTTGAGTTATTTGAAACAACTTGTAAAGCAACATTCAATATTTTATATTTTGAGTTATTGGTAACAAATTGTAAAACAACATTCAATATGAACAAAATCACTACTGTTTCTTGGTGAGCTAGAGCAACTTGGAAATTGAGAGTAAACAAGTTAGTGATCAAAAATTGACGCTTGAATATTGACACAGCATGCAAATTGGGACATTTCAAAGATGCACAAGAAATTACATCACTGCTTTAAACCACTCTTACCATTAAATTTTTTTCTGTATTCTGGCTGTCAATTTTTCCCATATTATTAACCAATTATGTTTGAAAAACATTACTTCACTCAGCCGCGGATCCAGGATTTAGTCAAGGGGGGCTCATAGAATTGTTCAAAGGCATGCTCCCTCGGGTTTTTGAAAATTAAGAACCACCCCTGGATCCCCCCAGTCAGTGGATCATAGTGTAGCAGAATTGACCAATCAGAGATGACCAAGTGCCAATCACAGCAAGAGACAATAGTACTCAGAAGACCCACTGTGACTAATTCAACATGCATAAAATTTGCATCTTCTGTGCATTGAGACCAAAACAGGTGATCAAAGTTTAAATTTTCTCAGCTTTATTGGTGCTGAGTTTAGTCTTGATGCAGTGAGAATGAGGATACTGGAGGGTAAGACAAGTTGTCTTCACAATTCATTATATGTACATGTATCGTAGGAAAGTGAAAGACATTGTTACTTGATCAATGTCTCGGAAAAACAAGAATTCTGGATACTCCCTATAGGAGTTGAACTGATGACCTTCCCATCAGTACTTTGGGTGCTCTACCACTGGGCTAAAGAAGATTTGTGGTAAGACAGAGAAAAGTTTGTGTGGAAAAACAAACAAATTTAAAGAAAAGCAAAAGCATTGCAGAGATATGTCATCCACTTGTTCTCCTGAGTTTATCAAGGAGCCATTGGTGTGTGACATTCCTGCTGTGAGTGTAAAAAATGATTGCACTTTCTGATGTGAGAGTATTTAGGAAATTTCTAGTGTTTCAGTCAATATTTTTCACCCAGACAGCTATGACCATACTTTTTACTATCAATTTATCCTCTGCCTGGAGAATAATCTGATATATATATATATATATATATTTATCTTTCAGTTAGATTTCGAATACTATCAATGCCTTAGCTCAATAACATTTTTCCTCTCAGTAGATTAAATATTGATGATAAACTTTGTTCTCTAAAACTATAGTTCTCCTTTGAACATGAGATACTATTTTCATTTCCTTAATTTACACTTTGTCAGTATAACAATCCTTAAAATATAAACTTTCAGGTTTTGTAGGAACTATTTGACCAACAAACTATATACATCATTTTGAAGAAAAGTTTAAATTTTGTTTTCATTTTGTATTCTATCATTCTTCTGAAGTTAAATAAATTAATATGCTGTTAGTTTGACCAAGCTTCTCAAGTAAGATATTTCTACATTCTTTGGAATCTACACATTCATGTACTTTGGATCATAATAATTTACAGCTCTATCTAAACATTCTTAGAAGTGAAAAAATGATTTAGGAACCTTTTTTGTTGCTGGAAAAACATCTCTGGAACCACAAGACTTATAATCCTGAAGTTTCTTTCATTGACATCTAGTGTTTTTTTGTTTTTTTGTTTTTTTTTTTTGCAATCTTTTCGTAAAATAGGCACATCTGGTTTAAAAGTCCTTGAATTTCTAAGATGCTTCGTGCACAAGAGTATTAATTAATGAACTATAAAAACAAAAGAAACCCACTGGTCCCCTCTATTAACTATGTTCTTAACTAAAGAATAGAGCAAGAGGTAAGTTAATGTCAAAGATGTTTCAATTTAAATCAAAGAGCAAACCAATCAAGAAAAAAACTTCAGAACAGTCTCCTAACTAAAACAAAAACTACGTCCCAAAAACAGTTATGGTAAAAGAAAAACCCATAACCTTCAGCTTTTCAAAATTTTAACTTTTATGCTACTACAAACTTTATGATTACTCATTGCTGCCACTCCTATTTTATCCACTAAATGCTAATTTTTCTGAAAAAGCTGTGTTTTATCTTACAATTTATATTTTGTTCATAACCAATTATTTCATTTAAGTGTAAGCACTTTTATCACAGATCACAGAGAGCAGTTATTTAGAAAATCTTCTGGCCAACAAGTTTTAAATATTTACATCAGAATGTACCTGATTTTAAGTTAATCATTAAATAAGCCTGCTCTCTCTACTCAGGCGAGTCAGACATTCTTGTTAAAAAAAAAAATAGTTCATGATGATGAAAGATTACAAAAGGTACTGTCTTCTATTAATAAAAAGTTGATACAGAAGTTTTTATCCAATCACCTTATTCTTCCTTGCTGAAGGTGCTTTTACCTATAAAATGTACATCAATAATTCTTGATGATGAGAAGTGGAGAAAGGTGAAAAAACAGTTGTGAAGTTAATTCAGATGAGTGGCATTTCTGGACACTCTGCAGGTATGCATCATGTCAGTCCTCTCCCAGTAACATGGGGGCCCTTTGATGGGTGTGGTCAGTATAATGGGAAGGGGTTGGAGGTGCTTGCGCTTGTTCTGCTAGAAGTTCTGTCATCTCTACATCATCCGGTGCAGAGTAATATGGAGATCCCATTGTATAACGCTTGTTGTGAAAGTCTGCGCATGGATAAGGAAAAAACAATCTGAATGGTGGATATCTTGTGGGAATTTTCTAATGTTTTAATCTCAACAAATAATTCTAATCTACTTTTAACTGTACATAATACTACAAATTAAACTTACATAGTAAGAAACCTAACTAGTTTTTGCTCCCAAGCAAACATTAATCCCTACAATGGTAATTGCATTTAAGAATGTCATCCCCAACTCAAATAATTTTGTATTTAATTAAAACCTAAGAATTTTAATTGCTTAATTGTTCAGCTCTGTAAATAAAGCATGAGGCTAATTTTCTCCCACAACCCTCCTTCCATTGTTTGATAGTATGAAAATCGAGAAAGGGTTTCTTTTGTTACCTGATTTGCACTTTAAAAAAACAACTCTCAAAATATCTACCTTGCCAGTACATATAGTGAAAAATGCATCCCAGAGGAAACTGAAGGATGGATGTCAGTTAAAATATCTTAAGTTTACAATAAATTTCACATCCAATATTGAGAATACAAAGTAGATCTTAAATATAAACAACTGATCAGAAAGCCTCGCACAAAAAGTTGTATGAAATGTAAAACCTACACCACAAGTAAACTATAAATAAATTATTTACAGATGTATGTTATTTTCATGTTATTTTCATGTTACAGTTATTATGTTGCCCTTTAGTGCCAATTAGTGACAAAGAGCATATCTTACAGAATGAAGACTGATCTACAAGAGTAAAAGTAATAACCATGACAGCTTGTTTAAAAATTAAATTCAAATTAAGTTAATTTCATCTGCAAGCAGTGAGATTTCATTAAAATAATAACAGTAATTGGTAAAAATGTCACTTCTAGATAATCAACCCTGGTGACTACCAGTAATAGCAATTATGCAAGTTAGTCCCATATCAAACAGAACAATATACAGTACAGAAACTCCATACAAAATCAATTACTTCAGAGAGTTACAAAAGCATTACATTATACAGGCACCTTTACACCCGCTGCTGGAGTAAGAAGTTTCGATCATTTTGAGTTAAATGATTTCTACGATGACTCTCACCCTTTTTAGGTTTTGGAGGTTGTTTTGCCGTTTTGAGGAATTGTACCAGCAATCCAATCAGTATCAGAAGTGGCCAAACTCCTAAAATAATCCACGAAAACATGCACGGTTCGTGTCCTTTTATGTTCTTCAAGAAAATTTTCAGCCAAAAGTAATCTAGCAATCGTAGATCTTCAATGAAATAGTCCAGTCCCCCTGTGACTAATGCCCCTCCATAGATTGATGATGTAACAACTAGAAGAACTCGCTTCCACCAGACACTTGCCCCTGCTATGAGAACAGAACCTAAAATGATGACTCCAACTGGTAGTGATAGTGTTGTATATTGGTATAAAGATGCAAATCCAAGAAGGAAAGCCATTGCTAAACAAAAACCAGCCACAATTCCACTTGAAAAGAGTCCACAGAAAACTACTGTTGTACACAAAATTCCTGCAAAGATTGCAACTGCTGCAACAATCAAAAGGATATAGTAGATGGCCAGAGTGCTTCGAATCAGGCATATTGCATAAGAGAGAAGGGCTGCAGATGAAAACCCAGTGGCAAATAAGGTTATTCTCTGGTATTTGAATCCTGATGGCAAAAAGAGGAAATCAGTTGTTAGGAATTTTAAATAATGATTTGCTTGTTTATTGTAATTGGCACTTGAGCCCCCAAGATCTAAATGCTAATTATCCCCTCTGATTGTTATCCATTCCCTTCTAAATTAGTTATGAGACTTAAGCGTTAAATCAGATAACTTCTACCTGAAAAGTTTGAGTATTCTCATTACCTGATTTCTGGATAATGTATGGATATTCTAATAATAAATAAGCACTTTACAATGCTTCAAAAAGGACTAAAATCATATACATATATATATATATATATAATGTGTGGTAGTCAGAAAAAAAAAACAACTACATATACATCCCTACAGACCTGTTTCGTGGTTGCCCACTCATCAGGGGATTTTAATGGCAGAATAATGCAATACCATCACTTATATATTACACTAATTGCTAATTAACATGGTTTATGCAGTGTGAAAAGTGTCAAGTCAGCTGTTTCGTAGGAGTGCTTTGTTTCTGTGTTGGCAGGAAGAGACGAGTTCGTTACGCTTGTTGAGTGTTGATAGGTCTGGGTGGCAGATGATTAGGAATTTCTCTTTAAGCCATTGGTTGCATCATTTGCTTGAGCTGTTGCAGGGCAGGTGAGAAGATAGGAAACTGCCTCCGACAATCTGTCATATACCAAGCTACCATTACACGTAAAGACAACACCATGACAGACACATACATCGGGCTCACTGCAAACGACTTTAAGTCGCGCTACAACAACCACACCTCGTCATTCCGACACGCAAAACACCGCAACTCCACCGAACTCAGCAAACACATCTGGACACTTAAAGACAACAACATCAACTATTCCATCATCTGGCACATCCTAGCTTGGTATCTGACAGATTGTTGGAGGCAGTTTCCTATCTTCCCACCTGCCCTACAACAGCTCAAGCAAACAATGCAACCTATGCCTTAAAGAGAAATTCCTAATCATCTGCCACCCAGACCTATCAACACTCAATAAGCGTAACGAACTCGTCTCTTCCTGCCGACACAGAAACAAAGCACTCCTATGAAACAGCTGACTTGACACTTTTCACACTCACTTTTCATGTTAATTAGCAATTAGTGTAATATAAAAGCGATGGTATCGCATTATTCTGCCATTAAAATCCCCTGATGAGTGGGCAACCACGAAACAGGTCTGTAGGGATGTATATGTAGTTGTTTTTTTCTGACTACCACACATTATACCTGCTCTACTATTTGTATCGAGCACTGTTTCACGGACACCAAGTTTAATCCCTCTACATATATATATATATATATATACATATATATATATATATACATAATAACAAAATTACAAAATGGAGAACCTAAGATAGTTCATAAACTCACTTAAAAAGAAAGGTCTTCAATTTAGATATTTTGAACTTATTTACATCATCGATTGATCTAATGTCAAGGGGGGAAAGTTACATGTTAATCACTTCTGGGACTTAAAGGGTTAAGGTGTGGTTTAATGGTGTAAAATGGTTCAAATCAAATATTAGGTTATGAAAATGTGTTAAAGATGAAGACAAAGATAATGAACCAAAACCAACTATTTGTACCACATATAATAATTTGGATATATCAACAAACTTGAAATGGTTAATTGGCCACTGTAACAATTACAAAAGCTGATGTTTTGAGTGTTAGCCCTTCGTCGGAGCGAATGACAAAGGGCTAACGTTCAAAATGTCAGCTTTTGTAATCGTTACGGAGGCCAATTTACCATTTCAACTTTGTTGATATATCCAAATTATTTCATTACCCCCACCGACGCAGCCCCTAACAGTTTCTTTAGAAACTATCAGCCTTTATTTATTTGTACCACATCTAGGGTAAACAAAATAATTTTTGGGACTTAATTCACAATCCTTCATGGCTCAACCCAATGTGAAAACAAACAATCTCTACTACTAAAATCCCTCTTACACTAAAGGACTGTAGTATTTCTTGTGGCCCAAGGACATTCAAAGCTAACAAAAACAACAGCAATGAAAGCAGTGATAAAATGCCATCATGATGGTGGTAAATTGAATAAGAATTTAACAGTTCCCAAAATTTAGCTCAGAAAAAGAAAACCAAAACGATCTACCCTACGATTGTATTATTAATGAAAACAATGGTGCATACTAGAGAAAAAGAGATTTGTATTTTAAATGGAAACAATGGTGTTATCAGAGAAAAAGAAAATTCTATTTTAAATGAAAACAATGGTGTTACTAGAGAAGCAGAGAATCATATTTTTATCAAGAACAATGGTGTTCCTGGAGAAATAGAGAACATTCATGCATAGTAGTAAGTGACGATGTTTAAAAATGGAGGAGAGAAAAAGTACACATAAGTCAATTCTATTTGCGCTTGATGGTTGAATTAACC